CTGTGTCCCCAACCCCCCGGCCGTGTCCCCACCTGCATGACGGTGACGGTGGCCCCGGGGTCCCCGGCGATGCGGCGCAGCCCCAGCTGGGCCATGGCCACCCCGGGGGGTGGCAGAGGGACAGGCAGAGGGTGCGGGTCCAGGTGACGAAATCGCGGCAGCCAAAACATCATCCGCTGCACCTTCCGAACGGGGCGGCTGCGCGGGCCGAACACCGCCAGCAGCAGGAAACGCGTGTCGGCATCGGGGGTGACACCTGGGGACAGTGGGGACATTGGGGACAGTGGGGACATTGGGGTGACAGCAGCAGGAAACGGGTGTCAGCGTCCGGGGTGACACCTGGGGACAGCGGGGACATGGGGACATTGGGGTGACAGCAGCAGGAAATGCGTGTCAGCGTCAGGGGTGACACCTGGGGACAGCGGGGACATGGGGACATGGGGGACATTGGGGATATTGGGGGCATGAGGGACATTGGGGTGACACGGGGCGGCTGCGCGGGCCAAACACCGCCAGCAGCAGGAAACGCGTGTCAGCGTCTGGGGTGACACCTGGGGACAGCGGGGACAATGGAGACATTACAGTGACAGCAGCAGGAAATGCGTGTCAGCGTCTGGGGTGACACCTGGGGACAGCGGGGACATGGGGACATTACAGTGACAGCAGCAGGAAACACGTGTCAGCGTCCGGGGTGACACCTGAGGACATTGGGGACATTGGAATATTGGGGTGACAGCAGCAGGAAACGCGTGTCAGCGTCAGGGGTGACACCTGGGGACATTGGGGACATTGCAGTGACAGCAGCAGGAAACGCGTGTCAGCGTCAGGGGTGACACCTGGGGACAGCGGGGACATTGGGACATTGGGGTGACAGCAGCAGGAAACGGGTGTCAGCGTCTGGGGTGACACCTGGGGACATTGGGGACATTATAGTGACAGCAGCAGGAAACGGGTGTCAGCGTCCGGGGTGACACCTGGGGACAGCGGGGACAGTGGGGACATTATAGTGACAGCAGCAGGAAACGCGTGTCAGCGTCCGGGGTGACACCTGGGGACAGCGGGGACAGTGGGGACATTGGGGTGACAGGAGCAGGAAACGCGTGTCAGCGTCCGGGGTGACACCTGGGGACATTGGGGATACTGGGGACAGGGGCACAATGGGGTGACAGCAGCAGGAGCTGCGTGTCGGCGTCGTGGGTGACACCTGGGGACATGGGGGACAGCGGGGACATTGGGGACATTGGGAACATTGGGAACATTGCAGTGACAGGGGACATGGGGGACATGGGGGACATGGGGACATTGGGGTGGACAGGTGATGTGGGGACGCTGGGGACGGTGCGCAGGTACCGATGATGACACGGGGGACACAAAGAACACGAGGAACACTTGAGGGGACAGGGGACACAGCAGGCACATGCCAAAGCAGGGGTGACACGGGTGACAGGGTGACCTGGCTGTCCCCGTGTCCCCACGCACCGTATCGCTCCATCTGCTCCAGCACCTGCAGGCCGCACTCCTGCTGCCGCGGGAAGGGGAACAGCAGGCGCTGCACGGGCCCCCGGGGCACCCAKGGCCCGCGGGGAAGGAGCCCCAGGAGCCCGTTGTAAGCGGCCACACTGCGCTCCACGCCCAGCGCCGGCATCGCCGCCAGCGCCGCCTCCACCAGCGCCAGGCGGCCCCCGCGGCCCGGGGGGGACCGCGACAGCTCCCGCAGAGCCGCCCGGAACGCCGCGGGGCCGCGGGGGGCTCGGCTGTCACTGCTGTCACCGCTGTTGTCACTGTCACCGCTGCTGTCACCGCTGCTGTCACCATCGCCGGGGTCTTCGTGCTCCTCGCGCGTCTTGTGGAAGCGGAGGCGCCGCAATGGA